ACATAGTGCTGCAATATAAACTAAACAGTTTGAAATAGTAGGATAATATTGCCCAGAAAATGCATTTGTAGCAATTTGAAAATGTTCTAAAAAATCTATAAGAATTTTAACATTCGTCCAATCTTGATTTGTAAGGATTTCATCATCATCCTCACCACCAACACGAGCATTAAACGTTGCATTAATTGAGTTTCTATATTCATATGCAACTACTAAACTTTCNTATATATATTCCCTTATATATTTTCTTGTAGTATATATTGTATGTTATGTATATATATTCCCTTATATATTTTCTTTTAGTATATATTGTATGTTATGTATATATATTATAGCTTATAAATAATTGCAAGTTAAAGACAAAAAAATATTGCAAAGAGATATTCAAGGGCATGCCTTATAATTTTTATTACCAAAAATGGCATATCTTTCTTAGTCTTCTTCCCCTCAATGGAATGAGCACAACAAGGTACTAATACCACCATTAAAAGGAAAAAAAACTAAAGAAGATGTGCCAAAGTACAAGTTACTCCATAATCTACATTGTATCTCTAACAAATCTCATAAATCCTTCAAGGTTCGGAGGAGGTTCCGTTGGTGGTGGTGGAAAAGAAGCTTGTTCATCACCACTTCCGGGCGAAGCAGCATCCTCCGCAAGTTCCGCTATCATTTCTTCATAAGCTTCATCTATCTCCGGTTGTGATTCCGCAAGTCCAAAGTTTCTTCTCATCTGAAAGATCTAAAGCCTTATAAATATTTGAGTACCAAAAGTGAGGACCTCCTAATTTCATTGTAGGATTTAATATTGCAGCAATACCATAAATAGGGGGGATAGGGAAAAAAATATTTTTTAAACTTTTCTTTCATTGCATTTATAGCAAGTTTATAAATTTCCCCACCCTCCAAAAATTCAACAAACAAATCACATAGTGCTGCAATATAAACTAAACAGTTTGAAATAGTAGGATAATATTGCCCAGAAAATGCATTTGTAGCAATTTGAAAATGTTCTAAAAAATCTATAAGAATTTTAACATTCGTCCAATCTTGATTTGTAAGGATTTCATCATCATCCTCACCACCAACACGAGCATTAACCGTTGCATTAATTGGGTTTCTATATTCATATGCAACTACTAAACTTTCGTACATATAATTCCATCTAGTTGGACAAGGTTTAGGAACCTTTCTTTCTCTAAGGCCAAATTCATCACATTTTTTAAAATACTCTCTAAGTCTACTTCTACGATTTGAATAAAAAAGCCAATTAAGAGCCATTCTAACCTTTTCAATTTCTAAATTTAAAATTCTCATACCATCACCGACGATTAAATGGTAAATATGACAAATACATCTCACATGGAAACAATTACTAAATGCAGGATTTAGTGTTGTTGTAAGTATGCCTATAGCACTAGTGTTACTAGAAGCATTATCCATAGAAATTGCCATTATTTTATCTCTAATGCAAAAATATCTACAAATATCTGCAACAGTGTTAGCAATAAACTTACCTGTGTGACGTGAATTAATTATTCTATAACCAGTAATGCGTTTTTACATTATCCACTCCTCATCTATCCAATGACTTGTAACAGTTAGATAATCACAGTCATTATTACTTCTACCAATATCAGTAGTAATAGCAATCCGATTAGTTATATGAGTAAATAAATACCGCAAATATTGTTCATATTCATGTTTATATTTATAAATATCGCTCTTTACGGTTGCGCGAGGCCAACCTTTATAAGTAGGATTAAAAACTTTTCTAATATAATGCACAAAGTTAGGGTTAGAAGGAAAAGTATAGGGTAAGCACATAACGGTAACCATCTTTGCTAATTCTTCACGATCTTTATTAGGATCGTAATATAAAATACCACCGGTCACAGTGTTAATTCCTGGTTGAAGATTTGAACCTGTACTAGGGTTAACCGCAGTATCTACACTTGTCCCCTCTTGCTGCGCTTTCATTTGTAAATATTTAACTTTATCTCTAGGGTGTGTTTGTATGTGCCTAGCCAAACTACCCGTACCGCTACGGTCTCCAGTATATTTATGCGCCAGCAATTTCCCACAAGTTTTACACTTAGCCTTATTTTGTTCTCTTACTTGAGTAAAAGAATTCCAAACTATTGATGTTTCTAGGCGTTTAGAAGGTTGTCTATTAAAAGTAGGGGCTTCTACAGGTGGGTCGGGCGGGGCATCAGTTGGGTTATTAACAGGACTAGTAGGTGTATCATCTAAATCCGGTTGGGTTTCATCTACATCCTCATTTTCCTCATCATTTTCTAAGATAGTTGATTAGGATAAAGAGCATTCATAACTTCTTCATTTAATTGTTGACCTGGTGCAACATTATGGCCAAATTCACTATCAGAAAATTGAAAACAAGGGTTATCACTATCAAGAATAATAGGAGCAGCAGGACGGGTAACAGGTCTGGGTCGGGGAGCCGGGGGAAGGGTAGTAGGTTGGCGACTACTTTCACCAATTTTAGCTTTTCCCTTACCACCAAATATTTTTTTCAAAGAAAATGCCATATTAATTACAATTACGCAAACTAAAACACAAAAAAATATATTCTTAAAACTTAAGAGTTGGAAGGAGTTTACCGAATTGCCGAACAACTTCTTGAAAATTGAAAATCGTTGAAGACTTGAATACTTCAATTAAACAACTTCACAAATTTTCACGAAATTGCAATAATAAATAAGCAATTATAGAAGAGAAATTAGATATAGATTGAGAGAGATTGATGAATTGGTGAGTAAAAATGAAAGAATGAGGGGGTATTTATAGTTGAGAATTGGGAAAAAGTGTAATTATATAAAGTTTGGGGTTAAAATAAAGTTTGGGGGCCAAATGGCTATTTTTTAAAGTGGCCAACGGATAAATTTTGAAGGCCAACGGCTAGATTTTAAAAATCTGACCGTTGGTCTTTTTTTTAAAAATTTTTTTTTTTTAAAAATAGCCGTTGGAGCCCGTTAGGCCCGGTTGAACCGGCCCAGGCCCGCCTGCCGGTCCCGGGCTTAGCGGTCCCGGGCTCGTGGGCTTATAGAAGTGAACCGGCCCGCCACGGGCCTCCTGCACCATTGGGGACCGGCCCGCCAGGACCGTTTAGCCCGTTAAGACCGTGGGCCCGGTCCGGTCCCGGTCCCATCCCGGCCCACCATACAACATTAGCCCATTTGAATGATTTTCTAGTTTTTGGCACACCCATTAAAAAATTACTTAATAGCAGTAATTAAGAGAGTTATTTGACTAAATTATCCTTTCTTTTCTTAAATATTTCTCATATTTTACCTCTTAATGACTATTTGGATGTGCATATGTGATGATTAGCACCTAACAGTAAACGAAACAACATGAAGTTTTTCTTCGATGAAAATTAGCTGAAGTCAAACTGCTATGCTTGAATATTTAAACAGATAAAGCTTGAAGTAGGGACGCAAGATAATGCAAACTCAAAATTTCAAACTTGGAAATGTTCAACCCTACTAATGAAAATTTGAATTCAAAAAGAAAAATTGGAGCGAAAATTGTTAACATTTCACTATCAAAATTTTCAACATTCGTCAGGAAATTTGTTCGAATCAAAACCTCAATCTAAAATTTTCAAGTCTAAATCTAGTCCAACTTTTTAATTTGAGTTTTCAACTATCTCTTCAGAGTCTTTAACATTCTTTGAGTATTCAACTCTATCAATTGAGTTTTCGTTTTGATTGTTCATTGAGTCGTCAAATCCACTCAATTGAGTCTTCGATATCCATCGAGTGTTGGACTATTTTAAGTGGGTCTTCAACTTCAATATCCATGGAATCGTAAAATCTTTCAATTCACCTATCCATTTTTTTTTTCAAAAAGTGAATCTATGCTACAATAAGCCACGATGATACGTGATGGGAGTAGTATTAGAGATGTGAAACCATTCTGACATTGATAAATTCAATTGCCTTGAAAAGTACCTCTTTAATCACTTTATTCAATTGCCTTGAAAAAACACCAACATTTATTAGACAAAGGTAAATTTGGAAAAAAGATTAATCTTCTTGGTTTTTTTTTAAAAAATCACTTATTTTGGACCAAATTTAAAAGGCCAGAAAATCATTTAAAATGGACCAGAGAGAGTATCTTTTTACTTTTTCTTCTGCCATATCAAACAATAGTAAAGTAAATGATCTTGTACTCCTCAGGACAGAAATAAATCAACACCTCCGCTTCCTTTTTAGCCATCTCTCCACTTTATAGGGAACCATAATAAAATTTTTATCTTTTCATCTAGAAACAATGTGTTCTATCCTTTGTGCAAGAAAAGATTTTGCACTTGGGAGTTGGGACAATAACATAGCTTGTGAGGTTCTAACTGACGTGCGTCTGTTGCTAGTTAAAAACAATTTCCAAACTCCACCTCTTTAGCCTGAGCTTTGCCTCTAGGCATGGTGATATCAAAAAAGAAAAAAGCTATGCTGTTCTTGGTATGGATGAACCTTTTTGTTGGACGTTGCATTGTAAACTTCGTGAGACTCTCATTTGGCTGTTTCTATATGTACATATTTTAAAATTCTGAAAGCATGGAGGACCAAGTGAGTGAACTGCAGGTTTATCGTCTATACCGCATCAGTGAAAAGGCAGCCTTAAGGCTGCAGGGCTACCCCTCATGTGCTTATCTGCTTCTATACTTGGAGAACTTTCTCTTTCTATGCTAAAGAAAAGATAACATATTATATCAGCTAAATGCCAACTCAAGACGACTTCCTTCCATGTTTTATGAGTTTATTATTAATGGATATGAGCATAAAGCATCAATTATTCTTGAGATTGTTGGTTATTGTATGTTTCGCAATTAGTTCTACTAAATAAGGAAAATAGACGTATATATTGTGATAAAGATATTTCCTATCTTGAATGCAAATTAAGAGCTGAAAGTTAAGAGTATGTATGGTCCTTTTCCTTCTGTCTCTGCACTTCATTTATTCAAATTACTGTTGTCGCAGATAGTCGTGGACTTCACTGCTTCTTGGTGTGGTCCCTGTCGGTTCATTGCCCCATTCTTGTCGGAATTGGCCCAGAAACTACCCAATGTTACCTTCTTGAAGGTGGATGTGGATGAATTGAAGGTAAATTTAACGTCACAGTATACTTAGAAGCTTGGGTTGCTTATACTTAACCTATTAATGATTCCTATAGGAATTACGATATCCAATTGAGATGAGTGACAACTTGTGTTTACGTCTTATTTCCTTGTTACAGTCGGTTGCTACTGATTGGGCTGTGGAGGCAATGCCAACTTTCATGTTCCTCAAGGAGGGTAATATCGTCGATAAGGTTGTAGGAGCTAAAAAAGAGGAGCTGCAGCAGGCCATTGCCAAGCACATTGGTAGTGCATCAGTCTAATATGCTTTATTTCTGCACAGACGTATACATACGCTTGCATAGTACATCCTAATATACATATCTTGTGACAGTTTATCTGTGTGTATCAGCAAGAACTGCTCTAATTTCAGTTTCATAAGGTAGGGGTAAGGTCTGTGTACACACTATCCTCTCCAGACCCCACTATGTGGGATTATACTGGGTATGTTGTTGTAATGGACTTTGGATTTATCAAGTTCTTGTTATAAAGTATGATATTTGGCTTGTTTCTCTTTGTGAAAAATCAATTTCTTGCGTACTGTTGATTTTGCCCTTCTAACCTAAATCAGCCAATGACATAGGTATTATTGGTTATGCTGCTAAGGAATGGTATTTTTGTTTAAGAAATCATGGTTGTATTTTTATCTGAATTGGTTTTTCAGTTAAGTTTGCAGGGTAAATCTCATTCCTATGAGTACATATTATTTTGCAAACAAAGATCTGAGGGGGAAAACTAATTGCCATAATTCATCCATGGTGAAAGTAAGACAACTAAAGCTTCTGTCTGATTATTTGTATTGTACAACCAAATTTCAATAGGGGTAGCCCGGTGCACTAAGCTCCCGCTATGCGCGGGGTCCGTGGAAAGGCTGAACCACAAGGGTCTATTGTACGGAGGATTACCTTGCATTTCTGCAAGAAGAGGTTGTTTCCACGGTTACAACCAAATTTCAATATTGTAAATAATTTTATTACAATCTTCTAAAGTCCTTATTGGTGCAACAATAAGTACTCCCACGGAAGAATCCTTCAGCCCCTTGCAATTCTCATGCTTTCTCATGTGTTCTATTGTTGCATTTCCAATTTTAGGCTTCTTTTATTATGTATCCAATTTTTTTAATTGTTTATATACTCTCTCCTTTTCGCTCTGTTTTACATAGTTTGATTTGACACGGAATTTCATAAATGAAGGAAGACTTTTAAAACGTGTGGCTATAACATTTGTGTCACTATTAAACTTTTGAAACTTGTGATCTTAAACATGTCATTGTGCTTATTGTTTACCTCGAAAATACGAGTAACAATTAAATTTGATTTGTGGTTTTAAAGATACGTGATTTAGTTCAATAACAATTAATGATCAAGAAGTACAAAGTAGAAATGAAAGAGACAAGTGAATCAAACTAGAGTTACTCAGCAGCAGTTGTCACACCTCCTTTTTACACCCAAGGGGAATATAAGGGAGTTTTTCCAATTAAAGTGACATTATTCGAAATGAGATTATTTTATTTAATTTTTTCAGAGTCGCCACTTGGGATAGTTTATTTGGTGTCCCAAGTCACCGGTTTATTTTAAATCCCAAATCGAGGAAATTTCGACTTTATTTTAAAGTCTGCGAACCAGAAATTCTAAGTAAGGAATTATGTTAACCAGGGAGAAGGTGTTAGGCATTCCCGGGTTCCGTGGTTCTAGCACGGTCGCTTAAACTGTTAATAATTGGCCTATTATCTGATTTACTACATGTTTTAACCTATTGTGCATTTTTAACTTTATAACCGCTTTTAATTATTTTATTGACTTATTTCTTGAACAAGTTACGATTGTCGTACACTTGTTTGTTTGATACACATTGCGAATCATGTCATGGGAACCGTACCCACGATCTACAACATGTTTAATTTATTAAAGTTATTAGATGTTGTGGCCGGGTCACATAAATGTACCCCCAGATTTAAAAATTAGGTGTCACAACTACGTCACGGGAACCGTACCCGTAGTCATGATAATTTATTTAATTAACGCACCTAAAGCAAACTACGAAAGCTCAAATTAAAGACAACATTTATGAGGGCCATGGAGAATTCAATTGATGGCGCACCTCAAATTTTTCAAGGTTTGAATTAAATTCATGAGGGCCATGTGTTATTAAAGGGAAAATGGCACACCTCAAATTTTCTACAAGAATTAACTAATTATATGAGGGCCATGGCTTAAGGGTTTTATTTGGCATGGCACACCTCTCACGGTTTTAAAAGACAAGTAACTAATTAAGGGACTCTAAGGAAGTTCTCATTTTAAAACTAACTTAAACTTAACAAAGAGGCTATCTGATTATGAATTAGTTTATTTTTAGGTCATTTTGGACAAGGGGAATGGGTCACTAGCGTCTCCATATTTAAGCAATTTAACTTTAAAAGCTGTCTTTGGGCCTGCGAGTCGGCCCAAGAGAATAGAACTCCAAGTTCTTGTGCCCAAGTCATAACTTCAATTAATCTTACCCACATTGGGCTCATACCAGGCGGGCCCAGTTATGGTTATCTACATCTGGGCCTATCTACTTTTACATTTTGAGGTCCAAAATCACGTAATACATGTTTTGTAAAAAATTATAACCCAATTTCCTTCTTATTAGAAAGATTAAAATCCACAGGTCGAAGATACAATTCAAGTTCTGATTTGCAAGACATAAAAGAACATATTCATATACTGCAATTCATAAAGGAACTTTTCAGCTGAGTTAAACCATTGGGCTTAAGGCCTAGGCCCAATGACCTAGGCCCAGACTTGCCACCATTAGTTTTCCTTCTTTGGGCTAAGTCTGGCCTTTATTAGATGAAACGAATGGGCCTTGAAGGGCTGGCCCATGGCCTTAGCCATTTTCATGCATACAAAAATTCACTGATAAACGACCATATATCTAGGCAGCATTCGTTTTGAAATCACTACACCAAGACTTAATTTATAGTATTCCCAAATAAAATGAAAGTTTTCCATAATTACATCATAACCTATTAATACATGAAATAACTAAAGAAAAAAAAACTAATTTACTACAAGTGTCTTAATAACTTTAAAGAATGCTCTGCCTCTTTTTGGACATGACTTGTCCACCAAAGCTGGGCTTCCTTCATGAAGAGCATCAAATCCATACCATGTAATAGGGTCCCAAAACTTCAGCCTTTAAACCTGCTGATTTAGCCAACCAGTGGCTAAATCTGCAGGTTATAGCCCATGTTTAAACAATCAAAGAAAAGAAGAACAATGGTTTAAGTAAGAAGAATCAGATGAGAGAAAAAGGGGAAGCATAACTCAATTAACTCCTGAAAAGCATTAACCTAGATGTTCTGCTATGAGACAAGGTTGTTTGTGCAATTTTAAGGCCATTTTCAGACTACTGAAATACACATGAAACACAAGAAAAAAATTAACACATTAATTTCTGCCATTAAATCATACGAGCCATACACACATAATCATGAAGCATAGATCTAGACTAATGATTTCATTTGATGTAAGGGTCGGTTACATACCTTAAAAGAGAAAATAGTAAAAGTGACCAAATAAAGGTCAAGGAAAAACCAAGGAGTTTCAGCAACCAAAACACAGAACCAAACCCAGAAATGATCCAGAAAGTTTGAACCAGGAGAAAACAGCTTTGAAACCAGAAAAAGAAAGACTAGCTAAAGAGGGTAGGGAAATTTCCACTTCACACCATATTTTGAACTTGTAATAAATCAGAGGTTTTGGAGTTCTTTTTTTTTTTGATTTCTGGGATCTGAAAGAAAATGGAGCCTTTCTGCAGTAAAAGAAATGCTGATCAATGCTAAAAGATTGTCCAAAAAATTTCAGAGTAAGTGAACCTATATATATAGGCTGCCTTGGGGAGGGTATCTTTTGGGCATATTCCTTATCCTAGGAAATAATAGTACTGTCCTTTTTACAGCCCTTGGTACAGCTGTCCTATATTTCAGCATCTTTTCCTAACAGCTAGGACAACTGTACATTTCTAGAAACTTCTTTTTTTTAGCTTAAGTAGAAATCCATTTTTACCCTTTGAATTAACACTTATTTCAGTTTTTATCCTAACTTTTAAAGTTCAGTTAAGTCCCTAAAGTTTCTACCGATTTCAAAACCATGACCAACAAAGGCAAGCCTAAAAAGGATTGGTAATTCGAATCAAAAGTGCCTAAGAAGTGACTGCAATCATGAACCCTAAAACTAAATTGACAAATGAACAGAAATGCTTTAGCCAAGTGAACCTAAGCATGGAGTCTAAATTTAATACACTTAATCAAGCAATACAATGAATTAAACTGCAAAGAAGAACTAGAATTCTACCTATCAGTTTTTAAATTTAAACCATTATGGCAACAATCAACCTAGATATCTTGTTGATTTAAAATAAAACTGATAATTAAATGACCTCATAGAGGCAAAACAGAGTAGGCATCAACAAACCCTAAACTAAAAATTATGCAATTTGAGTACTGAATGTAAACATGCTTTAATCAAGAATAACTAAACAATTAAGTATTTGCTGAGAAAAAACAAAGAAAAGGAACAAAAACCTAAACTTAAACCTAAACATGGGACTAATGAACATGAAGAACGCAAAACAGAGTAAACAATTCACAAAAAAGAACCTAACCAGTAACCTAAATAAGCCTGAACTTAAACAAATTGACCATGCTTTAATTACTTTAACAAAACAGATGCCAAAAATCAAACTAACAGTCAAAAGAGGAAGAAGAAAAGAAATCTAAACATGCGTCTAAACAGGCAAACATGAACATGCAAAGAAAGGAAACAACAAACAAAACAAAAGTGAAAAGAATTACCTAACTTCGTTTATTCTTTAGAAAACCAGGCCAGCAACGAGTTTGACCAAACTTCTTCAAAGCAATCGTGAACCCGAACTAACATTAATCGTCTGTTCTCACAGAGAACAGTCGACTAATGAAGGTTTGGGTTTCAACCAACCGAACAAAGACCGGGAATCAGAAAAGGGAAAAAATTAGGGTTTCAAGGTTCTTAGATTTAAGATTTGAAAGAATAAACGGGGCTTTTTGGGAAATTATAGTGGTTTAGGGCTCAGAGGGATATGAGGGGTGTAGAGTATGATTTTGGAGTGGATTGAGGGCGGTTAGGGTTTTGACCTTGAATCTCAGATTTGAGATTCGAAATGTTTGAAGGTGATTCGAAGGGATTTGTTTGGAGATTTGTAAAGAGGAGGTTGTGGGGATTCTGTGTTGTGAAGATGGGGTTGATTGGAGCATCGCCGCCAGAGGAGGCGATTTCCGGCGGGCGGTTTGTGGCGGAGGCGGCGATGGAATGTGAGGGCGGTTAGGGTTTCTCTTGGTTATAGAGACTGAGTGAGAATGAGGGGATCCGATGGGGGCGGGTCTGTCTTCGGATAGTTATATATTAAATGACCAACTAGTTCCGAGCCGTTGGATGATCGAAATCCAACGGCTGTGATTAATCCAAATGAAACGGGGTCGTTTGGCTTC